CTGAAATAAATTCAGGTCCCTCTCTGACGAAGCAGAAACTTCAGATGGTTGACAACAGGTGTGCTGTCACTCTTAACATCAGTTTTGTCTGGTTTTAAAAATGTTCATTAAACCACTTCTCAAACTCGCATTTTTGTTGACAGTAATTCAAGCAGTTATACTGGATCCATCACTTCAAGGGCATCATTGGAATCAAAGGAGGAAGAATTAAAGGTCCAATCAAACTCAAATCGCAGTGACACGGAGTCTGTAGAAAGTTCCAGTATAGCCAGCGTTAAAACTGAGACGGAGTCTGGCCGTGTGACCCCTGAGCCTGAGCAACCAAGGTAAACCCAGGTGTAGCTGATCAAATAGCAATTTTTGAGACCGGAATAGCAACATTTAGGTGTTTGGCTCCTAATTGAGTAGAGTATTTAGTCTGACACCGTTAAGATCAAAGTGGGGTCTGATCATAAGAAAAGTTGAAGAACTCAGACTGTATTTTTAAACTAACAGATAATGATATTTATGTGACAGCGTTATGAGAAAGTAGAGCAATTACAGCCATTTTAACCTACATTTGATTGTTATTAAGCCTGAAATGTTTGTATACTAAAGAAAGAACTTATTATAATGTAAATATTCTCAGTGATGTTGCAGTATAGTAAAGCAGCATATTTAATCTCCTATATTTACCTAGTTGTTAATCATTTCTAAGTTGTGTTGGTACTTAAAAAAAATGAGAAACTATTGCAAAGTAAGGCCCTAGTATATCTAAACAAAGTTTCCATCATATCTGACCTTGGACTTCACACTTGTTCGTGTTACTGTCAGTATAATTATGTGTTGATTTGTGCTATATCCTTAGAAATGGGATCATGAACAGCATAATATCCCATCTAAATTAGGAAGCCCAGCTGGGGGATTGTTTCTAATGCAGATTCCAGTTTGTATGCTAAGTAGGGTCACAGGCCTCAAATATCCACCAAAGTAATTTTAATTAAAGCGCTCTCCCATTCTCGATTTCAGAACTGAGGTCACACAACTGAAATGAAACACAAATCAGAGGCTAATGGGACTTCTTTACAAAACTAAAAGTTTTTATTTGTATATTAGAACAAAAAAAGGTCTTTATTGTAGTTGTTAAATGTCTGTTTCTTTTGCCAACCAGGACGGAGAACAGCTTTGTTCAAACCAGCCCAGTAGGATCCAGTAATTCCAGTCTGACTGTCTCCATCAAAGCAGATACTGTCAGCCGTGAAACCACCAACGCAGAGATCAACACTGTAAGATAGTTTTCATTGTTTGAAATATTTTCACCACCTTCCTCTCTGACCGCATCTTGTTTCTGGTCACTTTAGGCCCCAGAAGTAAAATCCTCCACTGTAAACCCAGAGCTGGATGTTGATAGACTCTTTAAGAAGAGCATCAAGCGAGGCCCAAAACCTGCAGGTTTGTATTGTCTGTTAACATGTGCAGTGTTGTTCCCCGTAATCAAAACAAAAATGTGTGTTTTTCTGTATTTATTATATGTATTTAATTGCTGGTGTGTTCATTAGAGTATGCATCAACACTGGACCTGCGTAATGAACGTGACACATCAGAGGCATCACTGGGCAAAAGGAGCAGATCTGTACCAGGCTTGGATATACAGGTGAGTGTGTGTGTGT